TATTCATAAATCTGTGATTTCTTGTTTACCCAGTTTGCGTAGATTCATATTCGATTTCATATTAGATTTCAATTCGATGGGTTGGTGCGTTCTTTGGTCTTCAGTTTCACATTGAATGTCTCCACACACACAACTTGGTCATAAATAAATTCTAAAAACTTGGTTAATGGCCATGCCATTCCGTAGCTCATTTGGTGACAAGAGAGAATCGCCAGCAGCAAGGCAAATGGCTCAGAGAAATTGAGAAATAACCAAAGGCAAGGTGAAGCCAGTAACATTGTTGACTGGCCAGAATTTGAATAGAATTTCGCAAAGCCAAAAATCAAGCCGCAAGCCAAGGAATGTTTTGAAATGGTTCTACACCAAATGACGACCCGTAAATGGAAGAAAGTTAAGGAGTGTCTCTTCATATTTTAGCTAATACTGTTTCACAATGGTTTCAGCCGGTGGCAGTGTTGAGTTGACGCTTTGGCTTTAATGTGGCCATTGTGCTTTCTTGCCTCCCCCTCCCCCAACTCCTAATTTCATCGTCATAATCATCTTCAACGTTAAAAATGAAACATCATTTGTTTGAATATATATTTTTTGTGAATAGTTTCTTAATCATTAATGATCATTAGTTATTTGCATGTTATTCTTTCGATTTCGTCCATATCCCCCTCTTTTCCGAAGGTGTTAACTGTATTGAATGTATATATAATTTGACTACCAACCAAAATGACCGCCAAAAGTATTTTTCTAACGAAAACTTCTTTATCTCCGATTGTATGCCGAACAATCAACCAGCTTAGCATTTATCATAACTTTAATCCTAATTCTATTCGTTTCTAATTTATTAAATTTTCTTTTGCTGCCGCCAGAACTCATTTAATAACGAGAGAGGGGAGATGGTTTTTCAAATGAGGAGAACCGTCTGTCTGGTTAAATGGCAAAAGTCATGACCTTTGCTTTGATGAGACAGGAGTAGTGAATTGCTACTAATAATTATTGGTAGTTCGAAACTATTGTCTTGATATGCTATCTAAAAATATTGTTAACATATATCCGATTAAATCCAAGGTTTTTTGCATTAAGTCTTGGAAAAGAAAAACATGTTTTTTGGAAAGGAAATTTCCAAAATGTTCCAAAATCAAAAAAAAAGTCTTCGAAAATATTTGTAAAAATTTACGATTTGTGAGAAAATTTTTTATACCCTCAACCATACATAGTATGGAAAGTGTATAATGTTCGCCATTCTGTTTGTAACCCAACGAAATAATAATTTTAGACATAACAACGTATATATATATATACATTCCTGATCAGCGTAAAATTCTAATATGATTTAGCCTTGTCCGCGGGTCTGCATAAACGTGTGTTGCAATCACGCTAGAGTCAAAACGAATAAAGATATGAAGTTAACATTTTGCACAGATCAGTCTTTGGTCTGCTGGCAGGCCAAGGCTATATCGGTCCACGATATCGTATAGCCCCCATATAACGGTACCCCCCGATATTCGGAATTTTGATGATTGTAGACAAATTTTTTCAAAGTCCACAAAAGGAGTTCTCTCTGAGTACTTTATCCCTTGGAAGAGTATTGTCTTAGTTCCATGATATCGTATAACCCACATACAACGGTACCCTCCGATATTCGATATTTTGACGATTTTAGGGACATTATTCAGTGGAGGTGTTTCAAATTTCGTATTTAGAGTTCGTAATGGGTACCACAAACTGTAACAGAAAATTGCGCATGCAGGCCCACGTCTTCGTATAACCTCCATATGACGATATCTCCCAATATTCGGCATTTTGATGATTTTAGTGTCATTATTCACCGGAGTTCTTTCAAATGTTGTATTTAGATTTGGTAATGGGTAAAGTGACAGAAAATTGTCTATAGAGGTTCAGGTTTTCCTATAGCCCCATTATATCAGTACCTTCTTAAATTCTAATTTTTGACGATTTTAGATACAATATTTACCGAAATTGTTTGAAATTTCGTATTTAAAGTTCCTAATAGGTACTACAGGTACGATATAATGGTACCTCCCAATATTCGGTATTTTGATGATTTTAGTTACATTATTCACCGTATTTTTTTCAAGCTTCGTACTTGAATATTGTAATGGCTTATAACAAAAGTTGCCTATGCAGTTCCACGTCTTCGTATAGCCCTTAATATAACGGCTATATCGTTATTTTTAAGATTTTAACATAATTTTTAGAGGATTTTATTTTTCTTAAAATTTTACATTTGTTCCAAATGGTGGAGGGAGTTTAAAGTTCGGCCCGGCCGAACTTAACGCTTTCTTACTTGTTTTTTTTTTAAACCCAGTACTTTGAACTTGAAAAATATTAAAAAAAATAATTTTAGTCAGTGGTTCATGAAGAATGTTTTTAAAGGGTCCCTGAAATTTTTTTCAAAATAATCTACTATTGTCGACCAATGGTTCTTGAAAAACATTTTTGGAAATTCGACAATTTTGAATAAGGGGTCCATGAAAATTACTGTTAAATTATTCACGATTTCAGGCCAGGGGTCTTTGAAAAAATATTTTTTAAAATCCACAATATTATTCACCGTGGAAATTTGAAAATATATATACATAAAACAAGTAAGCAAAGGCTATAGTCGTGCGGGACCGACTATGTGATACCCTACAACACTACAATATGTTAGAATCTCCCTTATGTCCAAATCCATTTTGCAAGATTCTGCTTTTGAAATTATGATACAGAGTACTGCCCAGATATTGTCCTTAGCATTTTGACCATGGACATTTGCAAAATATTTACGCACTCCGTCGTGTTGTTAGTTGTTATGGTCCATCTTACAGCTAAATATAATGCAAAGGTAATCCATATAATGCAATTCTCCCCTGTCCTTTACTCTCTTCTCAGGCGTGTCGATAGGCTTCAATTGTGTGATCAGAAATTTTTTTTCTGTTTTTGATTCATTTGAACCCCTAAATATTTTGCGATCATCTCCAAAAGTAAGAAGCACCTCTGTATCTTCAAATTTAGACTCATCTATATGATTTGCTTGTCTACGATATTTGGCTATATTCGTCAACGAAATCAGCATCAAGCCAGAAATTGGCCTTTTTTCGGATATCGTCTGTAAGTAATGTTGGTATTTTTTTACACAAAAAAGTAGTGGTCCATTCCACCCGACGTCTGGGTCTAAAAATGTGAAAATTTTCGTGAGGATCGGACGGTAATTGTAATCTGTATATAATAACCCCAACCTGTGTTGTAAGGTGAAAAAATATTACAAAATAGACACTTCAATATTAAAAAATCAAATTGAAAAAATCGCATGCGATAAAAAATATGAAAAAATAAAAAAAAATGTCACAAAATACTACAAAATCTATATTAACACCATTATTGGTATCTTTTTATGCGAATTCCTTATATTTTATTCTTTTCGGCTAGGAGGGCATTCTAAATTGACAACATTTGTCAAAATCTGTCCAGCCATTCTTGAGATATAAGCATTCAAGATAACATCCCCTTCCTTTGTATATACACATTGAATATATTTAGCTATATATATATCTGATATATTTACTATCGGAATCTACGTAACGGTCAGAATTGACCTGTTCGTCCATTTGTGATTACGCCGGGAATACAAATATTCGCGGTTTAATCTAAAATTTGACTTTTATTTAACACAAATAGTATGGACTATTTCACCCACTAAATATTACCCGATGACCAGCAAAATTGGAAGGCTTCTGCTCAGCCCTAATCTCTAGCCCGTGCTAAATTCCTGTAGAGCAACTGCAAAATCATTAAATTTTTCAGTTTTTGGTCCCTAAATATTATGCGATCATCTCCAAAAGTAATAGGGTTCTATTCTGGCCCTAGTCCTACCTACATTTTAAATTTCGTGAGAATCGGGCCATAATTGCGACCTGTAGAGTGATTACAAATTAACATGGACAGACGGTCGGACGGACATACATAGCTAGATCAACTCAGCTCAGCGAGATAGGAAGATCCATATATACTTTCCTATGTGGGAAACCAATATTTCGAGGTGTTACATAATTGTTGGTCCAATCAAACTTTTAATACCCCCAACACATAGTATTGTAGGATATAAAAACACCATTAAACAAGCTGGAAAATACTTTTAAAAATTTACGATTTCTGGTTTTAAAAAATATTTTTGAACTCCATTATTTATGACAGCGACCTTGATATTTATAAAAAGTAAAAAATGCAGTAAGTTCGGCCTGGACGAACTTTGAATATCCTCCACCATTTGGAACGAAGTTAAAAAAATAAAAGACCGAATACACCCATTATATTGGGATCTATATGAAGACGTGGACTTGCATATGAAACCTGTATATGGGGCCTATACGAAGACCTGGAACTGTGTATACAATTTTCTGTCATATCGGGGGGTACTGTTATATGGGGGCTATACGATATCATGGACCGATATAACCCATCTTCGAACTTGATCTGCCTGCAGACAAAAGACTGATCTATTCAAAATTTTAGTTTCCTATCTTTATTTGTTTTGACACTAGCGTGATTACAACAAACAGATGGACGGACGGTCGGAAAGTACTAAACCGTCTTAGAATTGTACGCTGATCAAGAAAATATATATACTTTGTTGGGTCTAAAATTATTATTTCGATGAGTTACAAACGAAGGGCACCGTGCCAGGGTTTTTTTGAAAGATATTTAAAAAAATGGACGATCTAAGTTTGCAATTTCAACTATTTGAGGAGAGGAACCAAAATTCTACTGAAGCCGACCTTGATTTTAGATTTTTTGATGGCCAGTTATGCCAAAAAAAAATTATTTTATTTTTATACTTAACGCTTTGATTGATGCATTTTTTGAAGTGTAAAAAATTTTAAAATTGACGAAAATTGATTAACTTAACGATTGAAAATGTTACTTAGATCACTTCTTTGCGACAAAGGCTGTCAAAACTGTGAAGTATGGAATAAAATACGTCAATACTATAACAAGATTGTACTTACATTTCCATAATTGCGCAGCGTTGAGGGGCTCATGCTAAACAGACGATTTAAGTGATTCGAGGGAGATGCAGAGCTTGTCGATGGTGATATGGATGAAGCGATTTCTGCAAATATGGGTGAATGGTCTGAAAATAAAAAAAATACAACAAATTGCAATGATTATAAAATTGGGATAAAGTTCGGTCGGTCCGTTCAGAAAACTTGATAGATGTTACGAATGTTTCAGACGCATTTTACAATCTAATTATTTTTTATACCCTCAGTCATATGGCTCCTGACCGTATATATCTCTTGGTACGAACAAAACGTGTCTCCTAGACCAAATCCGTTTCAGGACCTTTGGAGTTGATCTAGGGCTGTCCGTCCGTCCGACCATCCGCCTGTCTGTCTGGTTGATGCGCACGATAAATTTGGAAGGCAGCGTCCAATTTGATCCAAACTTGGTAGATCGAAATATTATTGTCAAACTTAGGTCGAGTTCTGATATGAGCAACATCGGACCGCTCCTTCTGGTAGCTCTCCCACAAAAGGTCAACATTTTCAAAGAAAACAAATTACCTTTGCAAATCCCAATATTTTTCTTAGTGAATGTGAAAATTGACGATATCGGTCAACTCCATCAAGTACCTCCCCCACAAAGGGTCAACATTTGGAATCATTATAACTCTTATAAAATGTTAAATAAATTTAAAATATGTGACGACCACTCCTTCTGGCACTACCCCCACTAGGGTCAAAAATTGAACAATCTTGAAGCTCATAAAAAGCGAAATAATCATCCGATTATCTTCAAATTGAACACATTTCAATAATTTAATTTAAATGAGATCTGCTGTGAAGAAGGAAGAAATCGTTTCATTCCCTACAAAGGATCCGAATTTTCTTCAGCTATTCTTGTCAAGTTTGGTTGATGTAAATATTTCTCCCAACAAGTTAAAAGGTATCAGTCGGTTTCGACGGGGTTCGCAGATATATGTCATCTTCACAACAGATATTGTGTTAGCAAAAATGTTCACATCTGTGAAATTCGAAGAGAGTTGGATGCTTGTTTCGCTTTCTTTGGACGTTTTGTTTTTTAAAATCTTGAACCCTATGTGGGGGAGGTACCAGAAGAAATGGTCCGATCTCTACCATCTTTATAACAGAACTTGTGTTGATAGAAATAATAAAATGTACCCTGAATGAAATACAGTCATAATGAAATCGGATGGTAATTGAGCGTTTTATGAGCTTCACGGATATTCGAAAAGTTGACTCTTTGTAGGGAAGTTACCAGAAGGAATGGACCGATATATCCCCTCCTCGCAGCATATCTTGTGTTAGTAGAAATAATGGGATGTGTGAAATATGTAGATAACCGGATGCTTGTTTCAGATTTTATTATCGATTAGGTTATTCAAAATGTTGTGGGGAGGGGAGGATAGTTACTGGAAAGAATGGTCCAATCTCTATTATCTATATAACAGATCTTGTGTTGATGGAAATATTGAGATATGCCAGGTCTAAATGAAATCGGATGTTAATCTCGCATTTTATGAGCTTCATAGATATTAAAAATATTGCCCCTTTGTGAGGGAGGTACCAGAAGGAGTGGACCGATATATTCCATCTTTACACCAGACCTTGGGTTAATAAAAATATTGTGATGTGTGTAATTTGACAAACAGACAAACGGACTGTTACATCACATTTTATAAGAGTTAATAATATTTAAAATGTTGACCCTTTGTGGGGGAGGTACTGGATGGAGTGGACCGTTATTGTCCATGTTCGCACCTGACCTAAAACTGATACAAATATTAGGTTTTGTAAAGTTGGAGCAAAATTGGATTATTCTTCCCTTTATATGCAGTAAAATATTTTATTGAAAATTTTGACATTTTCTGGGGGAGTTACCAGAGGGACTGGACCGATATTGCCCATCTCTGAACTCAATTAAAATTTGATATAATGTTGTACCAAGTTTGGATCAAAAAGGATGCTCCCTTCGAAAGTTGTCGTGCGCAGTAGCCAGCAAGACAGACAGACGGACATCGCTATATCTATTCCAAACGTCCTGAAAAGGATTGGGTCCAAAGAGACCGTTATTCCGATGATTCACGTTTTGGTAGTATCAAATGGTATGTACCCTCTCTACTCATATGGCTGAGGGTATAAAAATTGTATAGCAAAATTTCGGTAATATGTCGATTTGTTTTCGATTTGTTAATTCGGAATTATATTTTAGTTATCTATGATATTGCTTGGAAGAATACTCTTAAGAAATTATATTTTCTAAATGCAATCAGTCAATTTTATGCCAAAAAAAAGTCAAAATTGTCTCCATCACTTATCTGCTAGTGAATGATATTGATACAATCAACTTACCTCCTACAGCTGGCGACGTCATTTCCTTGGCGAATGCAAAGAAATCGTTGTTGTTGCACAGATCCGTTGAATTCAAAGTTATGCTGGGATTTCGAGGCCTCAAAAATTGTCCACTACTGGCACTATTGGCGGTGGATGGAGTGGCCGTGGTCACACTACAGCCGGTATTATCCATGACATTTGGTAAATTCGTTGACTCCAGAGGTGAGGCTGATTTCGGTGGCATGTGGGATGGTGTGGCGGTGGTGGACCCCGAAGGGGACGATGTATATGACATTATGTGTGGAGTTGTGTTACGTTTTAAGATTGGAGCCGGTGGCAGTTGCGATGGTGAGGAGTGACGAAATTGTGAAATTCCCCCTCCCACACCAGCTTGATTATTTGTGAACGACAGGTCACCCTGTTGTTTGGGTATGGCCAAACGTAAAGTTTGTCGGGCAGCTAGTCTACGTGCAGGCGCAAATTTATTCGGTTGTGTGGCATTGGTTGTGTGCGGTGTTGGGCTGGCTGTGGTTGTATTGCAGCCAGGGCCCATTGTTTGGTTTGAGTTTGATGTTGAGACTGATTGGGTATGACCACGAGAAGTCATGTGTGAGCCGGTATGATGTTGGCTGGGAGCCGTTGTTGCTGTTTCATGATTATTAAAGTTATGGGTTTGATTGTTTGTGTTGCTGCTAGCCGGCATTTTTGAGTTGTGTGGTTGCTGTTGTTGTGGCTGCGAATGGTTGTGAAGATAATGATGTTGATGATGATTACCCAGCTGGGGATTGCTAATCAAATGTGAAGAGTTCATTTTGTTGTGCTCTCTTGTCGTGTGGGTTCTCTTCGATTGTTTTTAAGAGATTCTCTTAGGTTAATTTGTTGGAAGCAAACAAAAAATATTTGTTTTTGTTATTGATTTTGGTTGTCTGTGATTTAGCAAACACGTTTTTCTCGTCACGTACATGTGTGGGGGAAGGTTTGTTGTTGTTGTTACCAGTCGGATAGATCTCAATAAAAATTCATAGGTGGCGCTAGTTTTTTTGCTGTTGTTCTTATATTTTATGCAATAGTTGTTCATTGCTACGCGGCATGTTTGTGTAAAATTGCGCAACAGATTTACATAGGTCAGTCATGTAAATATCCATTTGAGCATTCAAGTCGTATCTGTAACAAAAATGAAAAATAAAATATAAAAAATTAATGGAAAAGAAATATTTTTGGAATATATTTTTAAATATTGCATTACTTATGTAAGTGTGTAGATCTTGATGCAGTTTTAATGATGAATATTAGTTTCACACAGTCATTTTTGGGCAAAGAAAACTCTGATTTTTGATGATTTTCATAAAAAATACTAAAAAATTTTCGCCGAGCGAAAGTCAGTTTTTTAGAAATTATAGACAATTATAGAAATTTATTAGAATCCGAATACAAATAAATATTGTAGACCACGCATATAAGCACATTCTATGTAGAAGGAATTGCTTACAAAACACCATTCGATTTTTATTCCCAACACCATACTATGGAGGGTATATTAACTTCATCATTCCATTTGTACCTGCTCGAAATACTCATATCAGTTCCAACAACATATTAGAAGATCATTGATACTACAACCTCTGACAAAAAATTACTTATGCAGGTCCACGCCTTCGTAGAGCCCGTATGGTATTAAAAGTCTCCAATAGAACGGAATTGTTTCAAATTTCGTATTTAAAGTTCATAGTGGGTATTACAACCTATCTTCGTCTTCGTATTGCCCCTATATAACAGTACCTCCCTAAATTCATTTGATGATTTTAGAGATTATTCATTGGAATTGTTTAAAAATCGGTACTACAGCCTATGACAAAAACGTTCTTATGTAGGACCACGTCTCCACGTCATTTGAGCGGTATTTTTCGACGGCATTTTTTACCTTCAGCCATGTGTATATTCCCTCTGTATCCACATGGCTTTTGATACGGCCAAAACGTGCCTCATCGAAATAACGGTTTTAGACCCTAGGTCTCTTTGGACCAAATCGGTTTCAAGACACCTGGAGTCAATCTGGCGATATCCGTCCGTTCGTCTGTCTGTCAGTCTGGCTTGTAAGCACGACAACTCTCGAAGGGAGCATCCGATTTGGTACAACGCAATATTGTCATCAAATTTTAATCGAGTTCGGATATGGGCAATATCGGTCCACTGCTACTGGTACCTCCCCCACAAAATGTCAAAATTTCCACATAAAATAATTTACTGCACAGAAAAAGAAAGTACAATACGATTTTACTCCAACTTTGCAAATCCTAATATTTGCATCAGTGCAAACTATGTCATATGCGAAAATGGACAATATCGGTTCACTCCATCAAGTACCTTCCCCACAAAGGGTCAAAATTTTGAATAATTATAACTGTTATAAAATGTGACGTAAGTGTCTGATTGTCTTTAAATTACACGCACAATATTTTTACTAACCCAAGGTCCGATGTGAAGATGGAATATATCGGTCCACCCCTTATGTTACCTCCCCCACAAAGGGTCAAAGTTTTGAATAATAAAAACGACCATAAAATCCGAAATAGGCATCCGGTTCTCTTCAAATTACACACATCACAATATGTTTATTAATCCCACGAAAGTTCAATATTTTGAATATCCAAGAACCTCATAAAACGCAAAATTAACATCCGATTCCATTCAGACTTGGTACATCTTAATTTTTATATCAACACAAGATTTCATATAAAGATGGTTGAGATCGGACCATTCCAAAGTCAAAAGTTTAATTAACCAAAACGATCATAAAATCCGAAATAAGCCTCCGGTCCGGTAAATGTTGAAAATTCAAAAGCTCATAAAACACGCAATTAACATCCGATTTCATTCAGACTTGGTAAATCTCAATATTTCCATCAACCTCTCCCACAATCAATTATTTTCATAAAATTGGAAATATATGTTCGATTTTCTTCCCTGAAGGAAGTGGTCGATAATATATAAGTCATCTTTTATAATTTTATATAATTTTTTTCTTCAAAGCTTTTGTATTTGCACCTTTTCTTTTAAAATTTAAATTGTGAAGAGTATTTAGACCATTTGTGCTTGAAACCACAAATGCTTTGATAATTTTTGCATCCCTTTTTCCAGTGGTAGGTATTCAATTAATGGATTTTGAAATATGTATTTTCTGTTATTACATCATTTTGGTGCAACTTTCCCACCGGCTAAACTATGTTCCCATTTCTTCACAATTGTTATTTTTTTCTTGGATATGCAATTGTGACCCAATATTCCCCATATGGCAATTGGCAAAGAAAAAACCCCAATTCAATTGCTTTGGTTTTGGCCACTTTTGGTCACGAGCAATGTCCGCCGCTTCACTGACGGCAAAAAGATTTAATCATCAGTCGAAACAAAACCGGCTAAGCATTGTCATCGTTTTTTTTATTTTTCTGCTCCTCTGGCCAAAATGCAATGACCATGAATGACGAGACGCGGCGAGATGCTGTTGCATTTCGGTGAATTTTCTTGCGTTCATTTTGGCGGTTTTTTTTTTTTGTGAGGTGTGTTAGCTTGACGTTTTTTTAATTTGTGTTTTATCTGCGTCGATAATAACAAAAAACGACAACAATAAACCAATTGGAAGACAAAAGAAAATTGCCGCGTGTTGTTGTAAAATTAAATGCCAACAAACCGAATAGTCAGTTTTTTTTAGCTCGAAGCGCATTATTCAACGCCGCAATGAACTTGGCAGTAATGTTGTTGCGTTTAACAACAAACATCGCCAATCATTTTGTTCGGGATGATAATAATGCCGCCGACTGTAAAAATGTCAGAACGACCATTTATTTAATCACTCACCGGGTCGCCGGAATGAATGGTCGATTCAGCGGCCACATGAGCAATTTCATGCATCGGAGAGAAAGAGAGAGGGTTTAACAACCTTTTAAGGAACTTCAAAAGGCGTCAGTCGTAATGGTGAAGGGAGTCGTTTCTAGGAACACTTCCGACTTATGATTTCATATTTTATTGCAAAATTTCAATGGCAATCATATCTGAATTATTTAATATTTGTAACAGATCGTCTGTACATATGCGGTAAAAAAATCAAGGATATCGATCAAATGCTTTTGATATCTCCCTAACAAGGATCCATATTAATTATAACCTCAACCATATGGCTATTGGCTATAGAGGGATAATATTATTTGATACGCCCAAAACGTGCCTCATCGAAATTACGGGTTTAGAAACTAGGTCTCTTTGGGCCAAATTTTTTTGAAGACATTTAGAGTTGATCTAGGGTTGTCCGTCCTTCTGTCTGGCTGGCTGGTGCGCACGATAACTCTCGAAGGGAGCATCAGATTTGATCCAAACTTGGATCGGTAACTCGTGAAGGTAGTATCCGATTTTTTTTCCAACTTTGGTACATCGTAATATAAGGAGAAAGGGTCATTCGATTTTGTGCAAAATTTAAAAATATCAATATTTTTGAAAGTACCACGCCAGGTGCGAAAATTGACAGTATCGGACCACTCCATAAAATCTAGACCTGTTGTGGGGAAGTACCAGATGCAGTAGACCGATATATTCCTTGTTCACACCAGATCTTGGTGTTTTAAAAATATTGAGATGTGTGAAATTTGAAAAGAATCTGATGCTTATTTCGCATTTTATAAGAGTTATGATTATTCCAAATTTTGACTCTTTGCAAAGGGCGTACCAGAAGGAGTGAGCCGATACATACCATCTTCACATCAGGTCTTGTGATAGTGGAAATATTGAAATGTACCGAATTCGAAAGGAATCGTATGTTAATTTCGCGTTTTACGAGCTTTATTGGCATTCAAAATTTTTACCCTTTCTGGGGGAAATATCCAACCAACTTCAGAAAGCTGTCATTTCTAACAGCCAGGCTGTTAAAATTATTCTACTGATAGCTTACAAAAGCATTTTTACAAGCATTTGGTGAGAATTTGAGAGATTTCTTTATATTAGGCTGGAAAACAACAAGTGGCTATCGTTAGAGCACTCCAGCATTTAAATCTGAATAAATATTTTGTGTCTCGTATCGTCCGTTACCGTGATACTGGTAGCGTAGCCCGACGTCACGGAATTGGACGGAAGGAAACAGCAACATCAGCAGAAATGGTTCGAAAAGTAAAGAAGCGATTTGATCGAAACCCGCGTCGCAGAGGCCGAAAAATGGCTGGTCAGCTGAACATATCGCAATATTCCATTCGGCAAATATTGAAAAATGAGCTCGGGATAAGCCATTGAAGTTCCATACAGTGCAAGAACTTACACCGCGACAGAAAGAAAATAGACTCACAAGAGCTAAAGAGTTGCTTCGCTTGGCGGAAAGTGGGGAACTGCCGAATTTTCTCCGATGAGAAAACATTCGTTGTCCAGTAGTTTTTAAACAAACAAAATGATCGTGTTTACTTGCCAAAGAGGTCAGCTGAAAATGTGCACCTTCGGTTGGCCACCAGAACTCAAGCGCCGGCCATGGTGTTGGTGTGGGCCGTCATAACAGTCGATGGTCGCTATCCGCTCGTATTAATCGACCGAGGCATCAGAATAAATGCCGAATATTATCGTGAAAATATTCTGGAGGGTGTGTTAAAGCCTTAGGCACGCAAACATTTGATGCTATTTCCGACATTTTTTGCTTTCATTCAATAAAATTAAGAAAAAAAATCTAAAAATCATGGCGTTTGACTTTGTTGCAGTTTTTTTATCTCACCCCGTATTCCATTTTTATACCAGACCTTGGGCTAATAAAAATATTGTGAT